TTGAGTCTTTATATAATGTGATATTCCTCTTTGAACGCCATACTCCGTCTATGCAAATTCCCAGAGTCCAGTTCTATCCCAGTGCAGGTGTATTCGCGACTGCCCCAGCCTCTTCGTGCCCCGACTTCATCAACGCCTCCTCCTTCTCGGCGACGCGATTTAGAAAGCTCAGATACGTCTGCCAGCCGACGGCAATGACGCCGGCAAAGATGCTGCGATACTCCATGGGTATAAACGTGAAGCTGAACGCCGTCACGGCGGGCCACAGCTTCATCGAGTTCATGAAGCTGACGGGCACGGTGCGCCGTATCCGCTTCCACACCTCCCCCAGCGTGTCGCCCGCCAGGGCAGCCTGCATACCGAAGAAGTAGCTGTTGAAGAGCGGCGTGAAGCAGATCTGGTTGACGACAACCTTTGTGCCGAGCGAGAGGAGGCGCGACGAGTAGTTGAAGTTTTGCGACAGGAAGACGAACCTGTATGGCGCACGACTTGTTAGCTCTTGTTACTCGGCCTTTTTCCCAACCAAAGAGCAGCGTCACTCACCACTTATAACTCGGTATTGAAGAGATGGCCCCGATGATCAACGACCTCACCGTCCGCTCGGGGGCGTAGTCGGTCCCGCTGATGCTCTGCGCCGACATGTCGGCTGCGAGGTAAATGACGAGCGAGCTGCAGACCTGTGTCGTGTACGGTCTTGCTCTCTGCGCCCTGGCATACGCCTCCGCGGCGCGCGTCAGAGGTCCCAGCCTCTGCCAGAAGGGGAGTGTCGGGACATTGTTTGCGACGGGAATTTGGCTGTCTGCCGGTCCCGGCGTCTTGTGTTTTGACGATGACTGCTGTCGGGACTGCCTCAGCGGCAGTCGCTGTCGGAAAGCTTGCAACTGACGACGCAGCGCCGTTCGGATGACGAGTACTTGCACCGCCATGCGACGAGGTGACTGATGGCGGTGTACGTGTTATTGTCGGGTCAGCATTGTTTGCCTTGTTGGAGAAAGTTTGACCGTCGGGCGCAGATCTGGCGACTTCTCGGCAATACGTGATACGCTGCGGCACCCGCGTCGGCTCCTCTTGCCGATAGAACTGCCCCACAAGCCGCTTTGTTTCGGCGAGACGCGGCACGTCAACCCTCTGTCAGATTGGCGTGCTCACTGCTCTGTGGTTTTCGCGGCTGTTACAACAAGATCCAATACAGCGCGTCTCCTATTAACAACCCAGTTACTTCGACACGAATACATAACTTCTATCAGGAACCGAGTGGTTCATTGTCCATGCGTGCAGTTCCTCCATCAAGCCGCCAGCAACTGGTCAACCTGCGCCGTGATGTCAATCATGGGAAATTCCGTCTTGTTGCCCGCCACCGTCCCCGGAACCCAAAGATCAGCAAACCAGTCATTAATGATATACAGCCTCTCCCCAATCTGCGTCGTGGACACAATCAACCACCCCTCCGGCAGACCAGGCGGGTTCGGGATCGTACCCAGGTGCTCTGCCTCGTCCCAGCGCCCGCTACGAGATCGCAGCACGGTCACACCCTTGAAGTGCTCCGCCACCAGCAGCACCTTGCCCCCAAACTTGACGGGCAGGTGGATGCCATCCCCGCCCTCGATGACTCTGGCAGGGTAATGCGGTACCAGCACCGGCGTGCCCTTTGCCGCCGCCGCATCGAAGCGGTAGAGCTTCCCCGCGCCCGAGTCCAGCACGACGATGGTGTCTCCCCTCGACGCAATGCCGGTGTAGCCGTTGATACTGGTGTCGTTCGTCTGTGGGTGGTACCACGGGATGATCTCGGTACCGGCCCTGTTGACGCGCACGATGCTGCTAGGAAAGGTGCCGACGACGTACGTGTTGCCCCGCGGATCGGCGGTGACGTCGTTGAAGCCGCCGTACGCGCCGTTTGTCACGAGCTCGGTGATGTTGAGGCTCCAGAGGAAGGTCTTCGTGCGCGGGTCGAACTTCTTGATGATGTTGGTGCCCGACACGTCCGGCGGTGTGGTGGTGAAGGCGGCTCCGGCGTTGATGAGGACGGAGACGAGGCCCGAGTGCGCGTCCCAGCCGACGCCGCCGACGTGCTGCGCCGGGTTGCGGGTTAGGCCCGGGAACTCAATCACTTCGAGCCTGTTCTGGTAGGGGTGGTAGATGCCGAAGCTGGCGTTAAAGAGGATACTGCGCAGTTTCTTAGCAGCCTAGCAGGGGACGGACTGTCTTGACGGAAGCACCGGCATTTTCTCACCCGAAGTATACCTGGCAGAGCTTCGCGTCCCAGTCGCCATTCTCGGGATAGAGCTGGTAGGCGTTGATACTGAACGTCCCACGGTTGAATGGGGGACAGGACCCGGATCTGATGGAGCTCTCTGCCACATTCCGGCCTTCAATCGGTCGAGTGACGTGGCATTGCACTCCAGAGGCGAGCAGAGCTACGAACTGGTAAAGACGCATATTTCGAACAGATCCCCGAAGGTTCTTTATCTGGAATTGGAGCTCGCGCGCCGAGAGATATGCGCTCACACGACCTAAAACAGAGAGGGCCTCAGAGGTGCACGCTATGGAACGGACGCACTCATATAAGCACAGAAGGTCTCAAAGTCCGATCCCAGGCGGAGAAGGTTATATACCTTGGGATGTTTGGGCCTTGCTATCTGGGTCCCGAATATTTGGCGGGTGTGCTGGCGGGTGTGCTGGCGGGTGTGCTGGCGGGTGTGCTGGCGGGTGTGCTGGCGGATTGGCGTATAGCAGACACGGGAGCGAAAGCACCCTGCACCGGGAGTGTACCAGGCCTGCTGGTAAAGAAATCCTGGCTGGCGAATAGAAGGTGAGTGAGCTTGTTTTACCAGTGGATGGAGGGAACGGCAGACGGGGGCGTGGACGGTTCTCCTTAGGCGTTGCAACATCACTTGCATAGGTTTGGCTCTTTACCGTTCCGATGCGGCGGGCGAACCGCGTCTATGGCGGGTAAGTAATTTCAATGAATGACTGATGAGCGACTAACTATGTACGTGAAGAGAATATTGCTAACTTGGCGGATAGAAGACGTACGATGCCCGCTACGACACGAAGGAATGGGCCCATAGCCGGCAAGCTCGTCCCGATAATTGATATTTGAAATAGTCTCCGACCGGAACCCGATCAATGAGTCCCGCTGGTCGCTCAACAAGTGAAGACCTTCGGTCCCGGAATAGTGTACGTCTGGGCTTAAGGATCGTTAGCTCACAGGACAGGCCGAGTTTATTAACGAGGCAAGCCTACCCTTGTATGCATCATATGTGATGCCGGCATCTGTCCCCTTGTACGCCCCTGGGAAGCTCACGAGGCCAGTCGGGGTGGTAGACCCGCCGCCGGTGACATTCAGCTGGTGGCATCCTGGGTAGAACTGAGCTCCCGGGTAGGTGTAGGATGCGTGGAGTGCGATGATCTTTGTCGGGTATGTTAGTATCTCCTCTATATCAAGTTTGGAGAGGATATGCTACATACTTCATGGCGAACAAGGTAGTACCCCTTCTTCAGGCACGACGGAATGGTGTACTGGTATCCAGCGTTGCCTGACACCATCAAGGGGGACTGGTGGATACTGGTAAGCACATCTCCCGAAGCAGTGTTCCGCGCGAGACTTACATCTGCCCAGGTAGTCGTTGTTCCGGTACGACCGCCCTCCTTGATCTTGAACCAGACGGCTCTTCCGAAAGGTCAGTAACTATGACAGCTTGTTCCTGACAATGGTGGGGACTTACGAGCTTCCGGGAGACCAGTTCTGGCAGCCAGTGTCAGGGCACCGAGCCATGTACGTGATAACCGGCCCGACATGGGAGTCCGGCCACAGAGTCCAGCGGAGCGTGACGGTCGAACCGGCGGCTGCTGTCGCATGAAGTGGTGCCGGTGCCGCGCCGGTGTTGCATGCCAAGTCGCTCAGAGTCACGTCTTGGACGGGGCCGTTTCCGGGAATGGAACGGGAGATTCTCTGAGGCTGTTGCAGTCGTTAGTGTAAGTGTAGATCTGGAACGGGAGAGCTGCTTACCGGAGTGCTATAGTAGGGATCTTGATACGGCTTAGAATTTGGTCAGATGATGGACTCCTCAATAGGCCTGGCGTTCGGTGAGTACCTGGTAGAACTGTTTTCGTTGTCAGCAGTGGTGTGTTAACTCCCCCTAGGAATAGTATCATACCTGATAGTTCACGCCCCCTATCGTGGCGTTGTCAACATATCCATGGCCTGCAACGAGCCGTGCCAGAGAGAACGCGCCCACGATAGTTGCCAGAGACTTCATATTGCGAGTGTTGGACAAGCGACTCTGACCAGATCTGACCTTCCTCTCTCGACTCCTGCCGGAGTCGCGTCGAGCTGATATAGTCGGCATTCACGACAAAGTCGACCATCCCGTCGGCTCATTTTGCAGCCTCGAATTCTCCGCCGACTCACGTCACAGTCGCACTCAAGACGGACGGCTGCTCCGTGTTGTCCTTTACCGGGTTACGGTGACTTGGCGATATGCGCTGTTGTTTCATTGCAGCGGAGATGTGCCGGGTGCGATCGAACAATACCGCGACCAGAGGCCCTATGGATCTTGGATTTGCAAAGCTCGATTGGAAACCTCATGCCATAGCGGGTGGTGTTTCCGGGTCGAGCACATGGAAGGGAAGCTTCCGCGGACTGAGCTCCGAACCCCAACCGCATTGATCCACCAATTATGGCTTCATGACTCGACTCCAGACACTCTCTTCTATTGACTCGCAGCACAGCAATAGAAGCGACGGTTCTTCAAAGCCGGGAACGTGCATCCGTCGACCCAGTTGCTGTTCTCGCCGGTTGTCCACTTTCGTACCGACACAGGGGTAAGTAAGGGTTTATCTGCATCCGCTCCTGCAAGTTCGGGCCGCACACCGTGCCCTCCGTGGTTTTGGGACACAATGGCACGACTCATGATATCACACACAGACTACACGATTACTCCTCTGGTTCGTTGTGGAAGTGTCCCATGATTCGACTTAGCCTTGCCTATTTCCATCAAGCGGGTTTAGCTCAGTTGGGAGAGCGTCAGACTGAAGTCAAACTTCACCAGTACATCTGAAGGTCGTGTGTTCGATCCACACAAACCGCACTTGATATCGCCCGTGACATTTGTCTCCTCTGGAGCATGCGCCTCAACTTCTTTTTTGTGTGTCCAGTCTGCTTGCTCGGCGCTCTCGGAGAGAGACCGTCACAGCTCTCTTTTATGCCGGACCTGCCCTTCCACCAAGCTCTCTCAAGTCTCCCGATAGCATCCAGCGCTTCGTGCGTCATAGCTAGCCTGCCCAGATGCCGGATCGCTCCATGCCACCTAACGCTGTTAACGCTTACCAAGATAGAAGTTGAAGCCTTGGCAGCTGCAACAAGCGCTGCGTCCCTTTAGCTTCAGAACTGAGAAGAGGTCAGCCACTCCATCTTCATCAAAATGCCAATGCACGCCAGCATGGCTTGCCCGGCAGCAAAAATGATTCGACCCGGGCTTGAACCGGAGACCTTCAGTGTGTTAGACTGACGTGATAACCAACTACACCATCGAACCGAGCAGATCAGCTTGCTGAGCTGTTGATGTTACGTACAAGCTCCATCTGAAGTCATATAGTTCGAGTCGGGGTGGAGATGTTGCAGATATCGCGAGTCAGGCATCGATCTCACTCACACGCTGTGGAGCCGTGCTATTCAGCGACGACTCGAACGGCGGCGACATGCGATCGTGCCTGAGGAAAGCGACTAAGGATCGTACCGGGTCGGATAACAAGATGGGAATCTAGGGCCGACTCATTTGCTTGAAGGAAGGAATATTGCAACTTGAACAGATCAAGACATAACTGTGAGCTTATTGTCGTGGCCGGCACCGGGAGTGGTGAGTGGTGCAGGAGTATCTAGGGACGGAGATCCCCAGCATCATATCATTCCAGCCCGGTCGTGCACATCATTCCTCCGCAGGGTTGCGCCGTCCTTGGAACCAACTACGAAGCTACACCAGACGTGAGCGATAACCAAATTACGGTGTTAATACGACCGTCCGACATGTCCGTGCTTCTCACGACGACGAAAAATCCGGAACTCGGAACAAAGCCGGCGGTCTAAGTCTATCCTGTGATTCCAATGGAAGCTGACCATTGCAAGTTACAGCAGATTCGTACGACGCGGTCGATTATGTAAAGCTAAGGTAAGGTAGCTCGTTCTATACCTTATCTAAGGTACTTATTACTTAGCGACCCCGCTCCGCGTTCCCGTTCCCGGTAAGGTAGGCTGGTAGGGTATAGGGTAGGTGGTAGGGTGCTGTACGAAGCAGTCACCACCAGACCTGGTGAGGCCCGGACTTCCAGGTTATAGCCCTTGGGTATCCCTAGTGAACATGGCGCAGTGTATATTGAATTCTCATATTCTGCTGGTGTCTGGACGCGCTTTCCGGCGGAGGAGTTGCATGAAGGGGGTCTGGTTGCCGCAGTGCAGCTGTTGGACCTTTCTCCCTGCAATGCGCGCGGAAAGCTTGTTCTTGGGGACAGCTTGAGAAAGGACACTAGAACGTTGTTCTGTTCTATAAACCCTTACTAAAACCCTATCGGTTCGACAGCCATCAACCACCTACCTGCAGACTTAACCTGCGTTCTCTTCTCCCAGTCAGCTCCTCCAGCACTAAGACTCAACTATCACATCAAGGCTCAATCACCACATCAAGCGCCGTCTTTCGCAGCCTCAAGCCTGAGTCTTTCTCCGACCCGCAGACTGCAGACGGCAGACCGAACCGGCCACTTCCTCTCCGGCATCAGGCATCAACCGAGCCTCAGCAAGGTATCCCTACCCACCATCCACCACTCTCGGCCCAGAACCCCCAAGAGAGTCTCTAACGAGCCACCAGTCGCCATGGGCCAGTCCCCGACAGACAACAACCTTCCACTCGACGCACCGCCCCCTCTCACCGCACTCACGATTGTAGGCATCCTCCTAGCCTTCGGAGGAGTCAGGTGGAGGCCTAAAGAAACCGACGAACGATTCCACCTGGCCGTCTTCCGCCGCGGATACAATCTCCAGTCCCGCGTCCTGCGCATCCCGGACCGGGTGGGGTTCTTCTACTCCTCTCCCGGACAATCAGAGGAAGACCAGAAATCCCAGGGGGCCCTATTCACGCTGTTCGCCGGCATCTGTTCCTACACGGTGTTGTCTCTCATGTTACCTCCGTTCTTGTTCATGGTTTTCGGCTTGTTGGATTCTTGGCACAATCCGATCGATCGGTTCCTGTTGATCTTTGCTGCCCTCAGCTGCGCCGCTATGGTGGTGATGTTTATTGCTCTCTACTGGTTTCAAGTCCTTTGCAACCGAGGGACGGCTCGACAGTCGAACTTGGAAGCTGATGAGGCGAGGCTGTCGGCCGGGGTTTAACTGCTACCTGGGGTGTCAGGGGCAACCCGTGGTCCAGCGCCGGCAGCAACTTTCCGCCACCCCCAAGGCGCCCACCGATGTCGACCACGTCAGAGTGCTGCATCTTACGCCCCGTGGCAGACGCCCCAAGCTCAGAAGTCGACTCGAGAGGACCCGAATGCCGCAGCCAAGGTGTGGGAGAGGATGCGACCCGGTTCGAGCAGACAAAGCCACCACACTGCCTCTAGAACACATTCCACATCCAACACGGGTGCTCGTAGAACACGCACGAGGCCGATGAACCCACCGCCCCCGCCTCCACGGACAGAAGCACAGCGCAAGAAGGCAGAAGCATCGTTCGGCACCAGGAGGACGAACTTTGTTGACGCGCTTGGCAACTACCACGGAGTGTCTACATAAGGTACCCTCTGTATGTAGCCCACTAAGGCAGTTCTCTTATATGCCACGCCGCTTCTTTACTTCCTTTGCATGACCTATTTGTTCCACCACGTGCGTGATCGTCCTCGACCCAGCCAATGCCCAATGGTACACCTTAAACAGGCCCGGGCCCTAGCCGGTCAGCAGAATACGCGCCAAGCGCTTCCAGAGGCCGCGGAGAAGCATATGAGTATCGAAGTCACGAACTGCAAGTTACTATAGCCTGACAGCCACCGAGCACATGGAAGATGCTCCCAAACAACCCAAGTTTAACTGTGCTATGGAGTGGCAGCGGCATGAGCAACCTGGAAGGCCTACAATTCGCCTGCACTGTCATAAACCAGGCCAATCAATCCATTGGTAGAAGTACACAGGTTAAGTAAGCTAAGGTACCTTAGGTAGGTACTCGAAGAGTCGGAGCACAGCAAGCAACTGGATGGGAAACGGAATCTGCTTGAGGGTGACTCTCTACAAACGGGTGACTCTCTACAAACTGTGCACAAGAAGTGGCAGCAACCTAAGTCTGGACAGACAGACATTCACATTACTTCCACCTTCCCTTCCCCAACGTGGAAGGAACATAGAAAGCTGCTCCTGGCCTTAAAGGTCCCATCTCAATGCTCTCACGCGGGCGGCAAATTCCTCTATTGATGTCCCCGGACCCCGGCCTGCCCGGACATCTTCGATGCTTTTCAGGTTCCAGTTGTTGCTTTTCTCGTGAATCACTTACGTGGACCCTGTTTGGAGATGGATGCTCCCAGCCCTTGCCCAATACCTTAGTTTGAGGGCAGTTGCTGAGGAGTTGGAGTCCCCGGTTCCTTCCAGTCTTCCCGCAGCCCGTACAGATGGCGTGCTGTCACCTTGATGGTCTGGGAGACCCAAAGTTGAAGTGGGCTCCGCGAGGGTCCCGCTTAAGCTGTTGTTCCTGCCGCCAGAGAATATTTCAGGGCCTGCATTGAAGTCCTTGAGGCAACCGCATGATAGAATCGTGCGGTCCAGCTGGAGCCGTCCTCAAGTTTGCGCCTCTTTCATCTGGAGTTCCAGTTGGAGGCCGCAGGTGGAATTGGGTCATGGCAATGGCTTGGGTTCGCTGCATCATCGAATGGAGATTCTCAATCGTTGTCAACTACCAGGTGCTAAGGTAAGGAGGTACCTTAGGTATCTGGCCCTTCCTATCATCTTGATGCTTCCTCCTCTTCTATTATCATTATTATTGTATACCTCACTCGCCACTCCTTGTTGATGCTATCATGCTCCTGCCTTTTATATCTCGCTATTCCTGCCTCTGGATTGGTGCTCCTGCCTCTCAATCTTGAAGTGCTCTTGCCTCTCAATCTTGATGTGCCTGCCTCTGATTTGGTGCTCCTGCCTCTCATCTTGACGCTCTTCCAGTTCTGTTCGATCCCACAGATCACTTTTGGGTGCTTGGCCATGAGTATTTATTTCTTCCTCTCCTCTCCTCTCCCCTTCTTCTTCTCTTCTTCCTTTTCTTTCTTCAAGCTCACCAACAATTGACATAAGTTGCTATTATGTTCTCCCCTACTTTCCCGGTGGTCACCCTGACCAACCTAACCATTGCACATTCGATTGTTTCACTGCTATTCGCATGGGCTAAAAACCTTGTGCGTAAGAGAGCCGGACTGGTCAGTTTCGATAGTGAGTTTCGATCACATTGTCTTGTTTTCGTGGCTGGCAGCTCTGTTCGCAGCGCGTGCCACTTAAGTTACTGCACCTCTGAATGTCTTCCCCAGATCCTTGTGTTCTCCAATGACCTACGTGCCTAACATTGCCTGTGACATTGTGACCGAAATGCTGAGAACTGATCGACTGAATGTACAAGCGACTTTGTTGCCACTCCTGCTGCTACCCAGAAGACTGATATGTGTCGGGCACGTCAAGTTGTTCACATCGAAGAACAGGAGAAAACAGGAGGTGACTGTGATGTCTTGCTGTCTCTATCAGACCGAGCCAAGAGCCAGTGGTAGTGCCTTCTGGATGTTGCCAGCTTCAAGACTGCGAAATGTTGGCCAGATCCGCAGGAGTAAGCATGTGCTGTCACTCTCGACCGTGCGGACCGGGAAAAAGGGGCTCCAAAAAATGGCCCAAGTCATCAACAAAATCGACAGTGGTTTGTCTGGGTTTTCAAAACGCAGCTAGGTACTCTGCTAAGTCATCTTCTTAACGATTTCGCGTTTGCACTTTGAAACGACAGGTTTTCGAATAACCACCCTTTAAGCGACAAATTCTAGTCCCTTCGATCGTACGGAAGAGACATGTTTATGTCCTCTTTGC